CCCCCAAAACCCCAAAACCCCAAAACCCCAATCTATAAACTCATCCTTATATTTTAAACTCTAAATTTAATGTCGGCTGGGAATTGAGAGAAGATGTGGAGCCTCTTGAAGAAAGATTCACACTCTTCTACTTTATTGATTCTTAAATTAATGAACAAGCTTGTCTGAGCTAAGCCCTTATTGTCAGTTTTATCAGACTCTTTCACACAATGTCTGAAATCAATCCTTAAAAATTACACAGAGGCTTCCTTAGGTAGCTCTTATTCCTCCAATAATGAACATATTGAAAGTAAATTTCGGCTGAATTTCAGCTTGTATCCCAAAATTTGTAGATTCTCAGAAAATTCTGCCAAAATTTTGAATAAATCAATTGAAATAAGCACTAAAATATCGATATAAAACTTCCAAATAAAGAATGATAGAAATTTCACGAGGGAGTTTAAAGAACATGATTATATAAATCCAGTAAATCACCTCAAAGATTCCTTACATTCTTCCTACCATTCCTTTTATACGATAAAATCCCTCTTAAACATCCTTAAAACCCTGCCAAATATACTAAAAATTCCATCAAAAACCCCTAGAAAAACCATCATTCCACACTACCCATCACACCATTATACCCCTCTCTTCTCAGCCACATCCCCTCAACCCCTCAACCCCATTACTCACCCCTTCACCTCTCCTTTCACCTTCCCTTCCAATCTGCCTCCTAAAACCCCACCTCTTCTCACTCATCAGCCCAAAACCCCGATTTCTCAGTACAAAAAGTGGGTTTTCTGAAGCTTAAGCCACGTATAGGGGGTTGGCTGGGAAGAGGGCTTAGTGACTGGGGTTTTAGGGGTTTTGGGGTTTTGGGGTTTTGGGGGGAGAAGGGAGAGATTATATAGGAAAGAGGTAGAATGTGCAGAGATGCATGGGTTTTGGGGGAAATTGAGAATAAATTGAATATTGAGGGTTTGTAAGAGGAAAAAAATTGTTAAAAAAACATCGTTAGGGTTAGTATTGATGAAGAAAAATTTAACTGAAAATATGAAGATTTGATATATTTTTCAAGAAATACTGAAATGATAAATGCTGGGCTCTCAAGAAAAATTAGGTGGTGTTTACAGATTTAGGCTTTAAACGAGTGGAGTTCAGTATGAGCACTTTAACCCGCAAAGTTCATTCAAACTTAATTCATTAAGGTGTAGTCATAGATCAAGTTTTGAGCCAAATTTTCAATGCTAATTCTAAATAGAGGGGTTTTGGGGTTTTGGGGTTTTGGGG